CACTCTCTCTCTCCCTCTCCCTTTATAAAAGACCAGGGAAGTGTAAATATGAAAACAGCAAATAACCACGATCACAGATTTCTCAAAAAAAAAGTCATAACAAATTCAGAACCTAATTACGAAAACCTCAACCAGGGATCCTTGGTGGATGACGAAGACCTGATCATGGTGTTGCAAGACACGAAGTCAACCGCGCAGGACGTGAGCACCAAGTTGCAAATTGCATCGGAGACGGAGAGGAAGATCAACGGCGCTCGGGAGGAGTATCGTCCTGTGGCAACACGCGGCTCGATCCTCTATTTCCTCATCACCGACATGGCGGCGGTCAACTGCATGTACCAGACCTCCCTCAGGCAGTTCCTGGTGCTCTTCGATATGTCCATGACGAAGTGAGTTGTGCTGGTGGTGCCGAGAGATGTCGGTCAAACACGGAAGCGTATAGAATATGACAACATATGACAGCAGACGTACAAGTCACACAAATACACATTACTGCACTGACACATAAACACACAAGCTCCTACAACCAACAAGGCCACACACTATTTACGAAATATACACACCATATCCAAGAAGCTCGTGGAAAGACTATGACCGAACTGAGCATTTGGCCAGCTTCGTTTTCCGGAGGCACTTTGAACACTAGCGATTTTACTGGACACGCTTCAAACTCCCTCCCTGATTGTACTACGATTGCCGTCTTCAGTGTCAGGACCGATACCGGAACGGAACGTTATATTCAGATTTGGTCCACAGTGAGATCAAACAGGGCAACGTAAAGAACTCATTCACATCCCCATAGTATAGTCGAAAATGGGAATTGGTAGTACTTTTCAATAGCATTTTTTTTAAGAATATTATTTGATTATATCAAGTTGTATATATTTTAAGTCTAGTCTTTCCTGTTTCATTTCGCTCTAATAAGAAATAAGTGCAGTGTATGACTTTTCTTCATATACATTTAAAATATTTCAACTGTGAATGGTTTTCAAGCTACAGCAATAGAAGTTTTAACCAAGTGTCTCCTTATCCACTTGGACACGCGCAATATCACCTAAAATAAATTAGGGAAAAAATAGAAAACAATCTCTCCGCCCATTTAACCCCCCCCCCCCATCCTCCTCTCCCAACCTCCTCCAGATCAGACCGCAGCAACACGTCCAAAGGCCGGATCAACAACATCATCAAATACCTGACGTTGCAAGTGTGGCGGAATGCCTGTCGGGGCTTCTACGAGAGGCATAAGTTTCTTTTCACGCTCCTCCTGGCGATGAAAATTGATCTGCAGTCGGGTCACATCGGGCATCATGAGTTTATGAAGTTTATTAAGGTAAGGAGGTGGATGGCAGAAGAATGTGGACGAGGTTAGTGTCATGGCGCTTGTGAAATGGAAGTCGATTGGAATTTCGGTGGGGGGAAAGCGTTGGTGGTTTGAGAGGTTTAGAATGTTGTGTTACAAGGATTATAGATGTCTCTCTCTCTCTCTCTCTCTCATTTTCTCTCTCTCTCCCTCCATCCCTCCCTCCCTTCCTTCCTCCCTCCCTCCCTCTCCATTTTCCTCTTCATCTTCCTCTCTCATTTCCTTTTCCCTCTCCCTCTCCCTTTACTTCTCCCTCTCCCTGTCCCTCTCCCTCTCCCTCTCCCTTTCCCCCTCATTAGGGCGGAGCTTCCCTGGACCTGAAGGCAGTGCAGCCCAAGCCCTTCCGCTGGATCCTCGACATCACGTGGCTCAACCTGGTCGAACTCAGCAAGCTCCCTCAGTTCGTCAACATCCTCGGCCAGATAACGGAGAGCGAGCGAGATTGGAGACAGTGGTTCGAGAAGGAAAAACCCGAGGAGGTATTTATTGGTTTTTAGCTTTTAGTTTTATGGTAATTATCTTTTTTTTCTTCTTCTTCTTCTTTTCTTTTTTATGTCTTCTTTGTTCGAATGGTTGTTTGACGCTTGTTTATTCAGCTTATTCATTTGTTTGCTCGTTCTTTCCCACTTTCTTTCATTTTGTTCAATTATTGTTTTGTTACATAAACTGAGATAAATGGATTTATTGGTGGGTAGGTATGATAGCTTAACTAAATGTAGATGAACTTTTTATATCTCAGATGTACTAAACTACTCTATAAAAAAAAAGGTATCGATGAAATATCGCCCCAAATCACATAATAACGTAATATTAACATCCGAAACCTATAAAATTACTCACAAAAGAGATACGAGCAAAAACTTCATAATCTCCAAACAAGGCATTATTCGTTAACAGCAACTTCCCTCTTATTCGCAGGAGGAGCTGCCTTGTGGGTACTCGCGGTCCCTCGACATGTTTCGGCAGCTGCTTCTGCTTCGCTCCTGGTGTCCGGATCGCACGCTGTCTCAGGCCCGCAGATACATCCGAAGTAAATAGAAAAAAATCGCTTTCTTCTTTAAATAAGTATTATTTTAGATGTGAAAGAAAATATATTATAGCTTTTATTTCATTGTTTTTTATATATATATATATATAGGTAGTTATGAGGATGCGGTTTATTTCCCCAGTTCTCCATAGAGTTCACTGTACTTTTTTATCTTCGTCTTCTTCTCAGATAATAATCCACTTTTTATATACGCCAGGTTCTCTCGGGGAACAGTTCGCCGACAGTGTTATCCTGGACCTCGAATCCACGTGGGAGGAATCGGACAACCGAATCCCGTTAGTGTGCTTCCTGTCTCAGGGTTCGGATCCGTCTGTTCAGATCGAGACTTTGGCGAAGGCGAAGGAAATGGGTGAGTCTCCGGTTTTCGGGATTAGGAAAGGGGGTTGGGAAAGAGAAGGAAGGAGAGAGAGAGAGAGAGAGAGAGAGAGAGAGAGAGAGAGAGAGAGAGAGAGAGAGAGAGAGAAAGAGAAGGAAGAGAGAGATGGGGGGGAGAGAAGGGGGGAAGAGAGAGAGAGAGAGAGAGAAGGAAGATAGAGATAGACAGAGGAGGGGGAAGGAGAGAGAGAGAGAAGGAATATTTTATCATCGATTGTATTTAGATGCACAATAAAGATTTTTGTGAGAGAACTTATCTGCTTAGCAGATCTACTTTGAGCTAACCGTGGGCCATAAGAAATTGCCTAAAACTAAAACTTGTTTTGTACTCTCAAAATGATTATGAGGCAACTTATGAGACAGAGGATAACCAACTGTGCCAAATATTGCATCTGTCGCGAACGCCGCCACAGTTCTGAAAAAAAATCATATTATGAAAATTATTATTTATCTCTGTCGTTGTCCATCGCCCTACGCTCTTTCTGGCAATCGGGTCTCCACGGTAAGCATTCAGTGATGATGAGTCAGTTAAGAGCTCTAAATAGCTGAGACAGCTGGGTCACATATATGTAATGCCCGGACGATGCTAGCCTTCGCGAATCTCACTGAAATGAACTGAAACGTCTAAAACACTGAATAAACAGACGAAGAGACACAGATTCCATCACCAAGAACTCTGCTTTCCCGAAACCATCATTAGTCCCCGCTTACGGAACTTGTTTTTCACGCAGAAATCCGGTCGATCTCCATGGGCCAAGGGCAGGAAGCGCACGCTCGCAGGTTGCTGACGGAGGCCATGACAACCGGGAAGTGGCTCCTGCTGCAGAACTGCCACCTCAGCCTCGACTTCTGCCAGGAAATGCTCGACACGGTCACCGAGTCGGAGAGCATCCACAAGACGTTCCGGTTATGGATCACCACAGAGTTCCATCAATCGTTCCCCATCGGGTTACTGCAGGTAGGAATAAACGTGTGGACTATACATATACAGAGTATGTGTACATCTCTTTCTTTTTCTTTTGTTTCAGTCTTGCAGTGGATTTCGTATTCATAACTAAAATATACCTCGTCTTGTGTAATGATTAAAAATAATAAGACATTTTCTATTTTAAGGAAACATCGTATGCTACTCAGGAGCATACAGGTCTATAAAAAACATTAAATCAATTTTAAATACAGCCTCTAAATTCTCAATGTAAACAAAGCTACCTCCGATTTCCTCACACCATTCTCGCACAGATTACTTTATTTACAGATTTCCATCAAGTTCACCAACGAACCTCCTCAGGGCATCCGGGCCAGTCTCAAGAGAACGTATGGAGATGTCTCACAGGTAACTTTTTGTGTACATGCTTATGGTGTACTTCCCTTCTTGTAGCTTCTTCCGTAGTCTTTACGTGTGTGCTTTTTAAAATTCGGTTAAACAATCAGAATATATATCTCCCCCTCTCGAAAACCCTATTGGGGCTTTCTTTACCCATCAAGAATCATCCCTATCTATCATCCTACAGGTCTTTCTTTATCTATCAAGAACCATCTACACACATACCTTTCCTCTCTCGGAAATATAACACGACTCCATCAACCCAAAACTACCCTTTCGAAACCCCTACAGGATCTGCTAGACTACTCCAACGCCCACCAGTGGCCGCGACTCCTCTACGCCACCGCCTTCCTCCACACGGTCGTCCAGGAGCGAAGGAAGTACGGCGCCCTCGGCTGGAACATTCCCTACGAGTTCAACCAGGCGGACTTCCAAGCCTCCGTGCAGTTCATCCAGAACCACCTGGATGATATGGACCCGAAGAAGGTTTGCGGAGGGGGGGAGGAGGAGGAGAGCTACGGAAGAAAGGAGATGGGAGGAAGTGGATAGAAAGAAAAAAAAATAGGATGTTGTAGGATTTTGTGGAATGGTATTCTAGGAAAAGGTAGGAGGTAGGAGAAAGCGGATAGTGGGTAGGAAGAGAAGGAAATGGGAGATAGTAGATAGGGACCACCTCGATAATACGGAAGGAAGGGAAAGGGCATAGTGGATGAATAGGTGGGGAAGGAGGGATGGAAGTGGGAGAAAGTGGACAATGGAAGAAAATGGGAAGAAAAGGAAATATGAAATAGTAGAAGGATGGTATTCTAAGAAAAGGAAGGAAATAGGATAAAGGGAATAGTGAATAGGAAGAAAAGAAATAGGAAGTAGAAGACACAAACCACATCGATGACTTGGATCCGAAGAAGGTTTGTAAAGGGTTATAGATTGATTGAACCTCTAAACATTGGTGACAGGATAGTAAAAGCTTGAGTGGCTTAATCTCTTTATTGTTAAGAGTTCAGCACACGGATGGATAAACACAACGAGACAATCTTGGGTTAAGGGCTGGTCACGGGCGAGCCCGGCCCAGCGGGCAGGTGTGACCTCGAACGCGGCACGGTACACTATTTTTACAGGGGTCACATGCAGGCCTTGAATATCCGAGCGTTGGCATGGGGATGCGACGCTTCGTGGCGTACCCAGGCGTGGATCTGTTGCCATATGGCCGGTATATAGTATATTGTATATTGCTCAGCCACCTACTCACGACTCGTCCTCGAGGCGATCTAGACTTTTTTCAAGGGTTCTAACTTGCTCGTCTTCGATCTCAGGTGCAGTATCCTTGGTGCATCTCCGTGGCTGCTCGTTCTGTGTCGTCCTCCTCGTTCTGGTCCCTGGTAATCCGTCCGTCCTCGACGTCCTCACGTCCTCAACTGGTCTTGCGCAGGTCCTCCTTGATACGGATTCGCCCATTTTTCCTCATAGTCCGCGTACAGGTCAAACTCGGCGGCTTATTCGCCCAATGCACGTCTCAGATCTCCGTCCAGGTCCTTCTCGGGTGCGCTCGTACAGACGTCCTCGTGATCGTCGTCAGGATCTACGGGCGTCCGGCAGGAAGCGTCCTCTTCGACATCGTAGGGCGGCTGATACCTGCACTAATGAGCTCCTGGAGTTTGACTGGGTCTGCGGCATCCAGGCAGGCGAACGTCCACAGCATCATAGGACGGCGAACCTGTACTGGCGAGATCCGGTCTTCGCTGGATCCCGGGGCGTCCTGGCAGGCGGCGACCTCTGATGACGTTTTTCAATGGCTTCCGAAGGTGACCGTTTCTGCAGCAGGGCCTCCTTCGGTGCCGTTTCAGATATCGGGAACCAGATTAACACATAATGGGCCAGATAGGGAGAGAAAGAAAAATGACAGAGAAGAGAAGGTGTTAAATGCTACAAGCCGATTTTTTTTTTGTTTCATAATTTGCAGTTTTTAAAGTTGAATTTTCGTTAATTTCGCCTTTTTTTCATTTTGTGTATTATGTTCACAAATTTAAGTTAAAAGAGGAAAATAGAAGAGGGAGACGTTGGTAGCGATCCGCAAGGACCTAGCTTGAACTACCAAAACCGTCTCTAATAGATACAAGAATAAAGTAAAGTAACAACAATTGGCAACCCACGAAGGTCTGCTTGAACCATTGTCGAAAGAAAAGTATAAAGTACGAATCCATGTAAAAGTCACACATCACGACTAACAAAATTGCGGGCAAAGAGATACGAACGCCTGCAACTACGACAGCAGCAAACCTATTAATGAAAGTTTCAGTGTCCTTTGTTCTGCGTCGGTGAATGGGTGACTGTGTGTGCATGTTTGAGTGACAGTTAATGATAAATGTCAAATGAAAGTAAAAGTGACCTCATATACAGCAGTAGTGTTGCCAACACGTTAAATAAAGTTCATTTTAACAATAATGCGACTATTTATAGACATAATTCAAAATTATTTCAAGTACCACATTGAATTCAACATCTAATGATATGCGACAAAATGACGCATTAATGAATGGTGACGTGAAAATTATTTGCAAGCCTCTTCGCGAGCAAATCTTCTCAGGGATTTCCGAGTAAGTCTTTACCGGTCATGCAGACTTCATTTGACGGGGGGACGCGACCCAAAAATTCCGTATTTTATGAAGATTAAACGAGCTGGGAAAATCTATAAATTACCCACTCTATCTGCGGATCTATGATGGGCGCTCATGAAATGCCCTACAGGAATTTATCATGATCACAAACCGATGGGATCTACCCAACATGATGGCGACATGTAAAAGTGTGAGCGGGTTGTAATTAATTAAGTGGATCCTAAATCAGACTTAAATCCTAGTCCTAATTTAATGGACATAATTGTGGTCACCCTGGCTCACAGTTTGCCGAACGTATGATTTACTTCAGTTACCTTAACTTACTATCATCTGTTGGGACGTCAGGTGAGGTCAGGTCAAGACAGTAAATGATGGGAGGAGAATTTAATGAGTGAATATTCGTGAAAAGAGTAAAATCACGGAAGCGCTTAATTCGATACAATTGAAACAAAATAATTTAATCACGAAAAAAAATTAAATAGACACTTAATAAATGAACAATTTCATAATGTTTAACTCCACACTTTATCACACAGTAATGAGGTGTGAGGTCAAGAAAATGAGAGATGAGAAATGAGAGTATGCCATTTACTTTAACCCAACAAAAACTAACGTGAGCTGACTGTACACGGCCTAAAAAATAGAAAGAAAATGAAAAGAAAAGGGCCCAAAATGTGTACTCACAGTTGAAGATATCATTGTGTTTGTTTGAAGGCGAGCAGTTTTTCTTCTTCAGAGACTGCTTGGTTCGGTTGCGTTCCAAAAGGACGCAACTACCACCTCTTCCACCACTTGTATGGCGGTGGATAGCCGTCCGGCGCGCAACAACCACCTCTGCCACCAGATGTAAAGGGTTATAAATTGATTGAACCTCTAAACATTGGTGACAGGATAGTAAAAGCTTGAGTGGCTTAATCTCTTTATTGTTAAGAGTTCAGCACACGGGTGGATAAACACAACCGGCCCAGCGGTTAGGTGTGACATCGAACGCGGCACGGTACACTCTATCTTTACAATTTCGACAATTTAAGAAGTAAAGAGGTGAAGAGATAAGAGGGAGGGGGGGGGTGGAGAAGGGTAAAGTGTTGAAATTGAAGGAGGTAGGAGATATAAAAGTAGGGGGGCGAAAACCCCATGCATGGTGCTTTACTCATTCTCTGGTCATGTCTGAAATTCGAGGGGAGGGGGAAGTAACTATATTTACAGGGGTCACATGCAGGCCTTAAATATCGGAGCGTTGGCTTGGGGACGAGGGTAGGTAGCGTACCCAAGTCTGCGGCTTGGGGACGCGACGCTTCGTGGCGTACCCAGGCGTGGATCTGTTGCCACGTGGCCTGTATATAGTATATTGTATAAGGTTCGTGTAAGGGAAAGTGGATAATGGATGAATAGGCGAGGAAGAAAATGGGGGAAAGTGTATAATGGAGAGGGGGAAAGTTACAAAATACTTGAGAGTAAATAGAAAAGGAAGATAATGCTCGATAGGAAGAGAGGAAACAGTGGATAACAGATAAGACGGAAAAGAAGACATAATGAATAGGATGAAGGATGTTTTAGTCACTATCGGGAGGGAAAGAGGGAGGGATGTGAGATGCTGGAAATAAAAAGGGAAATGATGGATATGAAAACAGTAATAAGTAAATTAGAAAAAAATGCAGTAATATTTATTGAATATAACTTAATAATGTGTCTTTATAGGGAAACTGATATGTTGGCGAACATAAATATGCTAGGTATAGTTGGTTCAGCTGCGGTTTTCTTAGAGCCCTTTTTATCCATAATTTCCCGCTCGTGAATAAGATCTTCATTTAACATCAATTGCACCGTCACATCTCTTGCAATCTCCTTTGCAGGGCGTGTCTTGGGTTACCCTATGTTACATGCTTGGAGAAATTCAATATGGCGGTCGAGTCACGGAGGACTTCGACAAGAGATTGTTACTCACCTTCCTCCATGTCTGGTTTAACGAGCGACTTCTGACTTCTGAATTTAAGTAAGTAGCGCAAAATGTAAGATTTTTTTTTTTTTTTTTAGGATTTTGCTGTGTTCTGTGATGATAATTTTTTACGTGGAAATATGATTCTCTCTTTTTTCCAATATTCGCTAATTAACTAAGAAATGTCTTATCCATATTACAAAAGATAATTTATTATGTTATGAACCTGTGGCCTTCAAATAGATCCACATTAGAAATTTAAAATAACAATGTTTACGATTCGAAAGCAATAAAAAAGGTAACCAAGATTCATTGTTGTAAGACCAATATCTCGACACTTAAATGCATTTTGTCTTCAAAGGTTCTACCAGGGTTACGGTCTGCCTTCGTGCAAATGCCAAGCGGAGTACCTGGAATTCATTAACCTGCTTCCGACCACCGATTCTCCGGAAGTCTTCGGTCTCCATCCCAACGCTGACATTACGTAAGGGAATTTAGCTCTTTTGTTTTGAGATATAGATAGAGAGACAGAGACAGATAGAGAAGGAATGAATGAAACACTAATTTTCGTGCAGATCCTTTTTTTTTTTTTTTCATTTATTCTCTTTTTTTACACAGTCCCTCATTTATTGTGTAGTCCTTTTAACAGTCCCTATTTTCCCCATATAATCCTTTCACACAGTACCAGTTTTCATGCATCAATTCTACACAGCATTATCACAACCCCGAGCGTTCAATCTTTACCATCCCACATCCCAACCGCATTCACAAACCGCCGAAACCGACTTTAAAATCAATCCATGGCCCTTCTTAACCCCGACAGGTACCAGATCAACACCGCCAAGAGCATTTTGGACACCATCCTAAGCATGCAGCCGAAGGAGGGGGGCCAGAGAGGGGGTGAGACGAGAGAGGCTGTGGTTTCGAAACTCGCCAACGACATGATTGCCAAGCTGCCCAGAGACTACATTCAACATGAGGTAATGGCGGTGCTGGTGCTTGGTCGGTTCTGCTTGTAGTTTTGTTGGTCCTTGATGGTTATTCAGTGTTAGTGTTAATGTTATTTGTATTATTATTGTTATTGTTGTATTATTGTTGTTGTTGTTATTATTATTGTCAGTAGTAGTAGTAATTGTAACAGTTCATATTATCAGTTATAGTATAATTGGAAAAAAGTAGGAGTTTCATTATTCATCATTATTGTTGTTATCATCACTGCCACCATCATTATTAATGCCGTGATCGTCTACGCCACCACCACGGATCGTCATCACCATTATTATCACCATCATTAAACACAACATCATTACAGCAACCCCCTTATCTTAAACTTTGCAACATTTCCTTTTCCTCTCCAGATTCGCGAAGCCCTGCAACGGATGGGAGCCATATTGCCAATGAACATCTTTTTACGCCAAGAACTCGACCGGATGTTGAAGGTAGTTTGAAATCCAAAACAGAAAGGGGGGGGGGGGATATGACGTATATTTTACTCAGAATTTCTATAATATGGTGAGCTATGGTTAGTCTTGTTGTTAATAGAATTGTGTGCTTACGGCGTGCGTTTTTTTTTTTTTTATTAATAAATTCTGCTTTTCTGTCTTCCTCTTCTTTGTATTCTTCGTTTCCTTGTTCGTCTTTATTTTCTTGATTGTGTTATTCGTTTTCATTTTTTCCTACATCTGGTACTTTTTCTTATTGATATTATCACCATAATCATCATTATCATTGTCATTATTATCATCATTATTATCATTATTATTATCAACATTATCCTCATCCTCATCCTCCTCACCACCACCACCCTCATCATCATCACCTCACCACCACCACCCTCATCATCATCACCATCATCATCATCATCACGATCATCATCACCATCATCATCATCACCATCACCACCACCACCATCCTCATCAACATCCTCATCATCACCATTATCATCACCATCATCATCATCACCACCATCACCACCATCATCATCATCATCATCATCATCATCACCATCATCATAACCATCTCACCGTACTGCTCCCCCCCAACCAGGTCCTGAAGGTCGTGCGACAAACGCTGAACGACCTCCTCCTGGCCATCGAAGGAACCATCATCATGAGTCCGTCCTTGAAGGAGATGCTCGATGCCATGTACGACGCGAGGATCCCAGACAAGTGGCGGAAGGTAAATACGGTGTTTTTTTTCTGCCTTTTTTCTCTTTTTTTCTTCTTTTTTGCCTTTTTTCTCTCTTTTTTTTCTTTTTCTTTTTTGGGTGGGGTAATTTTTTTCTCTTTTTTTTCTTCTTTTGTCTTTTTTTTTTTTTTGAGAAATTTATGGGGGTCGTGATATTGGAGATTGGCGAAAGTGTGTGATTGTGTATGTGCGTGTGTGTGTGTATGTGTGTGTGTGTGTGTGTGTGTGTGTGTGTGTGTGTGTGTGTGTGTGTGTGTGTGTGTGTATGATTGAAGGAATAGAGGTAGTGCAGGAAAGCGTAGTATCGTATTTTTTTCTCTAATTTTCTTTTGATAAATGATAAAGGAGATGGCGACAGTAAACGTAGTGTTTTCTTTTGGTTGAAAGAACAGAAATGGCGAAAGTAAATCTCTCTCTCTCTCTCTCTCTCTCTCTCTCTCTTTGAGAAATGATTATTAAAGTAAAATAAAGAGAAATGGCCAGAATAAGTGGCATATTTTAACTCGAGAAACAATCGTTGTCATAATCAAATAGACGGCCAAAGAATTACGTTGTTCTCTTTTGTTCGGGGAAATTATCAGTGGGAAAAGACTTGTTCGAAAGTGACAAAGGAATGGTAGGAAAGGTATGGTAGTATGGTAGAATTACTATGGTAGAGTAACAGAATGATGTGATGCATTGTTTTGATGTATAAACGCGTCACAAAATAATTTGATTTATAAACGACAAGCAGGGTAAGTTGGCTTATAAACGAGAAACGGAATACATTAATATATCAACGAGAGACAGTAACTTAATAAAACGATCAATTATTTATATTACTTTTTTTTTTTTACATTACTCCCCATCCAGGTGTCGTGGGAATCCAGCACCCTTGGCTTCTGGTTCACGGAGCTTCTGGAGAGAGACCTTCAGTTCCGTCGCTGGTACGTCCACGGGCGGCCGAAGGCTTTCTGGATCACTGGCTTCTTCAACCCGCAAGGCTTCCTGACCGCCATGAGACAGGTGTGGGGGGGGGGGGGGGACTTTGTTGTTGTTTTTCCTGTTGTGCGTGGGGGGGGGGGAGTGCGTGTGTGTGTGTGTGTGTTTGTTTGTTTGTTGTTTCTTTTTCTTAGTGATGTTGGCAATAAAAATGATAATGGTAATGCTGATAATGATAACAGCAGTGATCATAACGTAGTGATAAGGATAAGGACAATAATAATAAAAGTAACAAAAATGACAACATTGAGCCTAAGACGCAGAAACCATAACCGAAACTGCATTGCAGGAGGTGACGCGCCAACACAAGGGGTGGTCGCTGGACTGCGTCATTCTGCAGAATCTCGTGACACGTTTTAACCGCGAGGACATACACGAGCCACCTCCCGAAGGCGTGTATGTCTACGGCCTGTTCTTGGAGGGTGCGTCTTGGGACCGAAAACAAGGGAAGCTTATGGAATCAAGAGCGAAGGTGAGATTCTGGCTCCATGGTTTTGTGTTTATTTATTTGTTTGGTATCATTTTGTACATAGTTGTTGTTTTTGTTTTTTTTTAGATATCTCTGATTTTGTTGGTATTACTCATTTGTATTAATTCCATTCCATGTGTTCTATTTTTAACTCAAATATCCATAAGATCGTATTCGGGAAGGACTTTCAATTTTTTTTCTTTCTTATCGGTTGAAAGAACAGAAATGGCGAAAGTAAATCTCTCTCTCTCTCTCTCTCTCTCTCTCTCTCTTTGAGAAATGATTATTAAAGTAAAATAAAGAGAAATGGCCAGAATAAGTGGCATATTTTAACTCGAGAAACAATCGTTGTCATAATCAAATAGACGGCCAAAGAATTACGTTGTTCTCTTTTGTTCGGGGAAATTATCAGTGGGAAAAGACTTGTTCGAAAGTGACAAAGGAATGGTAGGAAAGGTATGGTAGTATGGTAGAATTACTATGGTAGAGTAACAGAATGATGTGATGCATTGTTTTGATGTATAAACGCGTCACAAAATAATTTGATTTATAAACGACAAGCAGGGTAAGTTGGCTTATAAACGAGAAACGGAATACATTAATATATCAACGAGAGACAGTAACTTAATAAAACGATCAATTATTTATATTACTTTTTTTTTTTACATTACTCCCCATCCAGGTGTCGTGGGAATCCAGCACCCTTGGCTTCTGGTTCACGGAACTTCTGGAGAGAGACCTTCAGTTCCGTCGCTGGTACGTCCACGGGCGACCGAAGGCTTTCTGGATCACTGGCTTCTTCAACCCGCAAGGCTTCCTGACCGCCATGAGACAGGTGTGGGGGGGGGGGGGGGACTTTGTTGTTGTTTTTCCTGTTGTGCGTGGGGGGGAGGGAGTGCGTGTGTGTGTGTGTGTGTTTGTTTGTTTGTTGTTCTTTTTCTTAGTGATGTTGGCAATAAAAATGATAATGGTAATGCTGATAATGATAACAGCAGTGATCATAACGTAGTGATAAGGATAAGGACAATAATAATAAAAGTAACAAAAATGACAACATTGAGCCTAAGACGCAGAAACCATAACCGAAACTGCATTGCAGGAGGTGACGCGCCAACACAAGGGGTGGTCGCTGGACTGCGTCATTCTGCAGAATCTCGTGACACGTTTTAACCGCGAGGACATACACGAGCCACCTCCCGAAGGCGTGTATGTCTACGGCCTGTTCTTGGAGGGCGCGTCTTGGGATCGAAAACAAGGGAAGCTTATGGAATCGAGAGCGAAGGTGAGATTCTAGCTTCATGGTTTTATGTTTATTTATTTGTTTGGTATCATTTTGTACATAGTTGTTGTTTTTTTTTGTTTTGTTTTGTTTTTTTAGATATCTCTGATTTTGTTGGTATTACTCATTTGTATTAATTCCATTCCATGTGTTCTATTTTTAACTCAAATATCCATAAGATCGTATTCGGGAAGGACTTTCAATTTTTTTTCTTTCTTTCTTTTTTTTCTTTCTTTTTTTTTTTTTTGCTTTGAGACTTATATTCTTATTTCTCAGAATCAGTTGATAACAATAATAAAATCTACCTTTGTCTTTTTATGCTTAGATATACACAAGAGCAAATACATTTAGCGCCTCTTTTCCCTACTACCTTTTCCATTGCAGGTACTCTATGAACCAATGCCAGTGATCTACTTATACGCCGTAAATACCACGAGCGGAAAGGATCCGAATCTTTATGAATGCCCCATATACAGGAAGCCACAACGCACTGATGCCACTTACATAGGATCAATAGACTTGGAGACCGTGGACTTCCCTCCGTCTCACTGGACTCTTAGAGGCGTCGCGTTGCTCTGTGATATCAAATAAAGACCTTTTTTTATAAACATGTTCGTTGCTTATTATATCCGTCCATCTGATTGAAAATAATAATTGTGAGTTGAATTGATATGTGTGTAATTCTGAATTGGTTGTTGTTTTCTAAGAATAGAATCGTAAAGAATGTATTTAAACGTCTTAATATCATGAGTATTTAATTTCATCGTAGGTATTGAACTTACCTAATTTTATTCATATTCCATTAGATATCAATGTACTTAATTTATTTCAATAGGCTTCTTATAATATGGAATGATATCAAATTTTCTATCAAAGTAGATATCGGACATTATAGATTGCGTGTCAATTCTGCTAAATACTTAATGATAATTTTGTGTCACGCGTTCGAGTGAATTATCTATTTGAGCAGATAGATAAAGTATCCTGTAACGTCACGACTACATCCGGCTATTAAGAGGAAAATTGACTGAATTCCAGGAAAACTGCAGCCTTCGGAATGTCACTTAAATCAAATTAAAATAAGCACTGCCTGTCAGCTCCAGAGTAAATTATTTGCTCGTGGTTTGGCAATAGTATTGACCGTCTTCCCTCTCCCTGTGAAAATATTAGATCAGTGATCTCTCTCTTTCTTCATTTTTTTGTAAGATTAATTACAAAAAATATATATTATTGTTTAAAGTCCTTACGTATTAAGGACACATATTCCTGTATCCATTTTTCCAATTACAACCCTATGATGCTGCTACACTTGGTATTTTCTATTATCCTATCGTGTATCCTATGCTTGTCTATGATTGTATGTATGTTCAATTGAATATCTGTTGGGTGGTTGCTGCGAAAGAAAACTTACTGTAAAAGTGGCAGTTTCCTCTACCTTACTTCGTAAATTTTTCATAATGGTTTCAGAGGAAAATAATGGTTGAAATTTGAAATACATTTTTTTTGGGGGGGGGAAGTTATATGTATAGAAATATATGCAAAATGAAAAAAAAATATTGACAATGGCAGAACGCACAAACCATGAACATCAGAAACCAATTATGAATCAACTGAACTTATAAATCTTCATTAAGAATCCTCTAACCTCTTTCATGAAACTGATAACGGGGTTAGAGAAAACAGGGTCTCTTGAAAACACTTTTCCTTTTTCTTTTCACCCGTTTTCTTCTTCTATTCTCCATTCATTTTTCTTTGCAGTTGTCTCAACCTTCGTCGTCGTTCTTCGTCTTCGTCATGTTCGTCTTTGTCGTCGTTTTTCTTCTTCGTCGTCAAAATTTTCTTGGTCTTTATCATCGTCTACTTCGTTTTTCTCGTCTTCTCCGTCTTTTTCGTCATCAGCTTCTTTAATTAATTTCTTCTTGGTCTTCTTCGTTCGCTTCTTTTGATTTCTCTATTTATTATATTTCTTCTTCTTTCTTCTTTCGTCCTTTTCTTTCTCTCTTTCTCCTTACTCTGAGAATTCACACGTAAATGCTTTGCGAATATCATTTACTCTCGTTCTCAAGAAATCCCCGAATATTTCTGACGCAGAACATTTACACCACCGAAAATTTAATTAATAATAATAATTAATAAATAAATAAGAATCTAATACATAAAAGATAAAACCAGAGAGAAAAGATGATGGAGTTGCAATGTGTTTCAGGAACACTCACAAAAAATTAAGAAATTGTATTATAGAAGAAAACTCATAATTAAGGTATTCTGTGATGATGTCGCTGAAATTCCAAGAACAAGATACAGAAATTACAGTACTAATGAAAATAATGGCTGACATGACGTAAGAGATATAATTCACCGTACAGTACACATTTCTTGTAAAAAAAAAAAAAAAAAAAAAAAAAAAAAAAAAAAAAAAAAAAAATATATATATATATATATATATATATATATATATATATATATATATATATATATATATATATATACATATATATATATGTATATATATATACATATATATATATATATTGTTGTTGGCTCCGTCGATCTCGTGAGATCATGGCTGACTGCGCTGAGGGTCTAAATAGGGGAGCTGCAACGTCGGCTGTGGCTGTACAGGCCGATACGAGAACCGCGTGGTCTGCCGCATCTGCTGCAAGTGAAGGCCGGCTCCTGTGTATGTGGTGGGGCCGATTGCAGCCACTGTTGCTTGCGGAGACGCCTCTCTCCCCATCGGGCGTCTCTCATATCCTCTGCCGCCTTGACGACATCCCGGGTGGTGGACCGCCAGCCGGAGCGGTTCGTGGCGGCTATCTCCAAGTCAGAGGGGTTGAAGCCACCAGCCTTCAGGTCGCGCTTACATACGTCCTTGTAACGGAGGGCCGGGCGTCCTGTGGATCTAATGCCAGTGGCCAGCTCCCCAAACAACATGTATTTAGGGATGCAGCCGTCATCCATTCGGGTGACATGGCCTAGACAATGCAGACGTCTCTGGGACAATATGGCGAACATGCTGGGCATCCCTGCCTTGGCCAGGACGTCGATGTTGGTGACGCGGTCCTGCCAAGTGATACCAAGCAGTCTACGGAGGCAGCGTAGATGGATGGTGTTCAGCCTGCGTTCCTGGATGGAGTAGAGTGTCCATGTTTCACTTCCATAAAGGAGAGTGCTCAACACGCATGTCTGATAGACTCTCATCTTGGTGTTGGTGGTGAGCATGGTGTTATCCCACACTCGCTTCGTCAGACGGGCCATCGTGGTAGCTGCCTTGCCGATCCTGGTGTTCAGCTCTGCATCAATGGAGAGGTTGCTGGAGATGGTAGACCCGAGATAGATGAACTTGTCCACCACCTCGAGGGTGTGGTCACCGATGGAGATGCTGGGGGCACTACTGATGTCTTGGCACATGACCTGAGTCTTCCTCAGGCTGATAGTGAGACCAAATTCTGCACAGGAGGTTGAAAAGCGGTCGATGAGTCGCTGCAGTGCTGCTTCAGTGTGGGCGACAAGGCCAGCATCGTCGGCAAAAAGTAGCTCCCTGACGAGCACCCTCTGTATTTTTGGCTTTGCCCGTAGGCGTGCTAAGTTGAAGAGACCTCCGTTGCTCCTGGTGTGGATGAAGACGCCGTCTCGGAAGAGTCTCGGAAGGCGTAGGACAGGAGCAGGGAGAAAAAGATGCCGAAAAAGGTTGGGGCAAGGACGCATCCCTGCTTCACGCCATTTTTGATTGCGAAGGGTTCTGAGCATGATCCGTCGAACTGAACGGTCCCGCTCATGTCTTGATATATATATATACATATATATATATATATATATATATATATATATATATATATATATATATATATATATATATGTATATATTACAGGCTACAAAACGGACATTTTTTTCTTAGTTCTGAAAATTCCTGTACGGTCTCTATACTGTCTTGTATATGTGTTTCTTCCATTCAAACATTAAATCGGACACGCTCTGTCTCGAAACAGTGAAGAATAGAAATAGAAAATAATTAAAATGAAAGATAATTCACTTTAAAAAAATCCTTATTTAATTAAAAGTTAAAAATTAATTAAAAAGTTCACCTTAAATCATCACAATACAAAATGAAACGCGTTTGATTTAAAATGTATATATATGAATATACATATATATATATATATATATATATATATATATATATATATATATATATATATATATATATATATATATATATATATATATATATATATATATATATATATATATATATATATATATATATATATATATATTTGTCAGACCGCAGGCATTTTTACGACCGCCGCGACGGGGAATTAAACTCTGGACCACGAGGGCCAGAGTCCAGTGGTCTAATCGTTAGACCATCGCGGCAGTCATATATAGATGGATAGATAGATAGATAAATAGATAAATAGATGAATAGATAGATAGATAGATAGATAAATCGATAGATAGAGAGATAAATCGATAGATAGATAGACAAATAGATAGATAGATAGATTACATACATACACACACACATAAATACATATATATATATATATATATATATATATATATATATATATATATATATATATATATATGCATGTACGTATATATGTATGTATATGTACATATATACATATGTGTGTGTGAATGTGTGTGTGTGTGTGTGTGTGTGTGTGTGTGTGTGTGTGTGTGTGTGTGTGTGTGTGTGTGTGTGTGTGTGTGTGTGTGTGTGTGTAGTCAAAGTTTATGGTGTATATATCATATGCGCCTGTGTCTCTCCAGCTTCGCCACCTTGGTTTAGCAAGAGTGAATGTTTACAGTTTTCTGTAAACACAGATGCTCTTGCGGGAAAGTGTTTGTATGCGTACATAAAACCCGACACACGCACATGTACAGATATATGTCTCTCTGGCTTCAACCGTCTCTCACCTGTCAGACTATCTCTGTATATTCCTTTATCAATCTCTCTCTCTCTCTTTCTCTTTCTCTTTCTCTTTCTCTCTCTTTTTCTTTCTCTTTCTCTTTCTCTTTCTCTTTCTCTTTCTCTCTTTCTCTCTTTCTCTCTTTCTCTCTTTCTCTCTTCTCTCTCTCTCTCTCTCTCTCTCTCTCTCTCTCTCTCTCTCTCTCTCTCTCTCTCTCTCTCTCTCTCTCTCTCTCTCTCTCTCTCTCTGGCTATCTACTCGCTTGCCTGTACCTCTTTCTCTTTGTCTGTATGTTCGTCTGTTTTTCTGTTTATCTATCCTGCCTGTCTGCCTTGAGCCTGGTCCAGACAAAGATAAATTGTATAGAAACAGTGCCTCAACAGCATGTCTATTCTTTCTCGATATCGTTGTTCAACAACTGAGCAGCATTCCAAATTTGTTGCTTCACAGTTTGGCAACTGTTGCGAAGCAGTCGCGAAACACGAGCGACTTTGTACAGTCATTGTTGCGCGACACAACAGAATCACTGGCGTCACTTTGTAGCTGAAGTATTTCGGAACTGTAGCCCAACAGCTGTCGTAAGTTCAGACCAAGCTGCACTTAGCATCCCACAAACTAATAGTGAAATGTAACACCCAAATCAGCCCAAGTATCTGTTCTGCCTACATTTTGAATCTGGAAAAATGCTACCTGCATTAAAAAATAGAATAATCAACAGTCTTGGGAAAAAGCACAAACAAAATCACGACGCTCCAATCACCCATAGTCTATTCATATCAGAAAAAAATATTTGTAGTTGTCAAGAGGTAGATGACTTAAAATTAATGTGCTATCAGTTTATTCTGCCACATTAACTACTTAATGGTACAACTGAAATTTGTGACCAAATTATTTGTATGCTATATTAGAGTTTGAGTACTTAATGAGAATGGTATATGGTCACAAGTAGTAAATAATGTGCAGAATAACCTGACAGCAGAATAATACGAAATTAATTGTTTCTCGACATGGCGTACCGATTATTTTCAAAATACAAAATACGAGACTTCTGACGGCAGGTTGTTATCATCACATCTGGGTTTTTTTTCTATTTCATAATGTTTTTAGCTCTCTCCGGCTAGTGCAACGCCTTATTAAATATAGAGTGATTTATCTGCAGTATAATGGGATTATAGGTTCCAGTAAAATGTAGATTCCATAAATTCCACGTGTAATATCATGTAC